AAGATAATCAGCGGAAATCATTTTGACATTTACAGCCCCTGTGACCTTGACCTTTGACCTAGTGACCCCAAAATCAATAGGGGTCATCTACTAGTGATGACCAATCACTATGTGAAATATGAAGACTTTGTGATACATACTTTTCAAGATATTCAGCGGAAATCATTTTGACATTTACAGCCCCTGTGACCTTGACCTTTGACCTAGTGACCCCAAAATCAATAGGGGTCATCTAATAGCTATGACCAATCACTGTGTGAAATATGAAGACTTTGTGATACATACTTTTCAAGATATTCAGCGGAAACCATTTTGACATTTAAGGTCCCTGTGACCTTGACCTTTGACCTAGTGACCCCTAAATCAATAAAGGTCATCAACTAGTTATGACCAATCACTATGTGAAATATGAAGACTTTGTGATACATACTTTTCAAGATAATCAGCGGAAATCATTTTGACATTTACAGCCCCTGTGACCTTGACCTTTGACCTAGTGACCCCAAAATCAATAGGGGTCATCTACTAGTGATGACCAATCACTATGTGAAAATATGAAGACTTTGTGATACATACTTTTCAAGATATTCAGCGGAAATCATTTTGACATTTACAGCCCCTGTGACCTTGACCTTTGACCTAGTGACCCCAAAATCAATAGGGGTCATCTAATAGCTATGACCAATCACTGTGTGAAATATGAAGACTTTGTGATACAAAGTGTGAAATATGAAGACTTTGTGATACATACTTTTCAAGATATTCAGCGGAAACCATTTTGACATTTAAGGTCCCTGTGACCTTGACCTTTGACCTAGTGACCCCTAAATCAATAAAGGTCATCAACTAGTTATGACCAATCACTATGTGAAATATGAAGACTTTGTGATACATACTTTTCAAGATAATCAGCGGAAACCATTTTGACATTTTAAGGTCCTTGTGACCTTGACCTTTGACCAAGTGACCCCAAAATCAATAGGGGTCATCTACTCGTTATGACCAATCACTATGTGAAATATGAAGACTTTGTGATACATACTTTTCAAGATAATCAGCGGAAACCATTTTGACATTTAAGGCCCATGTGAACCTTGACCTTTGACCTAGTGACCCCAAAATCAATAGGGGTCATCTACTAGTGATGACCAATCACTTATGTGAATTATGAAGACTTTGTGATACATACTTTTTCAAGATAATCAGTGGAAACCATTTTTGACATTTAAGGCCCCCTGTGACCTTGACCTTTGACCTAGTGACCCCAAAATCAATAGGGGTCATCTACTAGTGATGACCAATCACTATGTGAAATATGAAGAATTTGTGATACATACTTTTCAAGATAATCAGTGGAAACCATTTTGACATTTAAGGCCCCTGTGACCTAGTGACCCCAAAATCAATAGGGGTCATCTACTAGTGATGACCAATCACTATGTGAAATATGAAGACTTTGTGATAAATACTTTTCAAGATAATCAGCGGAAACCATGTGGTCTACCGACGGACAGACCAACGGACCGACAGACAGACCGACATTAGCAAAACAATATACCCCCTCTTCTTTGAAGGGGGGCATAATAAACAAGAGCCATGTCAACATGGCCATCCCCCGCCGAATGTGTTTGCTCATTAGAAGAATGTATATGTAGTAGAGCGGAATAATTCCATTTTAAGAGGTCTTTTGGAAATGAAAACTGATGGCTATAGTGATTACAGATTTGAAACCTATGTGAATACTGATGGCTGAAAATAAAAAAGGGCAATTACTGAAAAATAATGCAGGGTAGGTTATCATTCTTGTGTGCTGCATCCCTCCTCAGTAAAATCTATCCACCTATGAAGTTTCAAGTTGATACCTCAAATACTTTTTGAGAAAAAAATTGAATTGAAAAATTAAGTATGAAAAAGAACAAAGGGCAATAACACAAAAATTATAAAAGGTAGAGTTATCATTCTTGTGCAGTGCACACCTCCTCAGTGAGATCTATGCACCTATGAAGTTTCATTTTGATATCTCAAAGGCTTTTTGAGTTATGCTCTGGACAAAAATTAATTTTGAAAAATAACAAAGGGCAATAACTCAAAAATAATGCAGGGTAGAGTTATCATTCTTAAGCACTGCACTCCTCCTCAATGAGATCCATCAACCTTTGAAGTTTCAAGTTGATACCTCAAATACTTTTTGAGATAAGCTCTGGACAATAGCATGAAAAAAAAAAACAAAGGGCAATAACTCAAAAATTGTATAGGGAAGAGTTATCATTCTTGCGCACAACATTCCTCCTCAATAAGATCTATCCACCTATGACATTTCATGTTGATATCTCAAACACTTTTTGAGTTATGCTCCACTCAGGTGAAAAATTAGGTATGAAAAATAACAAAGGGCAATAACTCAAAAATTATGAAAGGTAGAGTTATCATTCTTGTGCACTGCACACCTCCTGAGTGAGATCTATGCACCTATGAAGTTTCATGTTAATATCTTATAGGCTTTTGGAGTTATGCTCTGAACAAAAATCAATTTTGAAAAATAACAAAGGGCAATAACTCAAAAATCATGCAAGGTAGAGTTATCATTCTTGTGCACTGCACTCCTCCTCAATGAGATCTATCCACCTATGAAGTTTCAAGTTGATTACTCAAATACTTTAAGAGATATGCTCTGGACAAAAATGTTGGACGGAAGGACGGACGGACGGAAGGAGACTATTTCTATATCCTCCCCCGAAATTTTTCGGCGGGGGATAATAAAGCTCAAAGACAACATTTAAAAGCAATACTGATGGAGTAATATGGCATATGCAAGATGTAAATAAATTCTTGCTTTTGATTTCTTGTTAAAAATCATTGGTGTACATAAATACAGGAATTTCTTATCTGTGTTAAGATTACATGATTAGTATATACATAAAAAGAGTAATTTATTATGCATTCTAAGTTCACAATGTTTTTAAAAATACAATATGAGATACAGGTATTTCTTATGGGATATAAATTCACATTGTAGAATTATTATTAAACATTAATGTAGTAATATCTTATGTAGGATCAGTTAACATCGTAACTATATATGATACAGTGATTTCTTATGTATCATAAATTCACATTGATATTATTAATACATAAATACAACAATTTCTTATGCATGATAAGTTAACATCATTACTACACATATTACATGTAATACAGTAATTTCTTACGCCTTATTGGTCAATATACAGAATTATCTTGCAAATTTCTAGAAGTTATTGAATAAAATCAGTCAGAAGCAAGCCAAACCACTTTTCTAAAACCGAGAGAGATACAGAAATTTGATTTCCAATCTATGTATAGCATATTCAAAAATACAGCAAAGAAGAATGCATTGCACACAAAGAGTTTCATAGTATCCTGAACGTCACAATTATAAACTTGCCTATTTGGTGCCAATTATGGTAACGTCTAGGCTTTTAAAGGAACAAGTCTAGAATTTGACGTAGGTTAAAAAGAAAATATGTTCCTTGTTATGGAATATGGATTATATCTCAATTTAATGTAATAATTTTCTTATATTTTCACTACTACTTCTCAGATTTCCATTTGTTAGTGAGAAAAAAAAATCAAAAAACAAATTTACTCAATATAATTAATTTGGTCCTTGTGTGAGGTAGAAATGTCACACAATTTTCTCCCTTACCTGGGCTTTGAATATTAAATTGCTGTTTATAGAATCATTTTTTTTTAATTTTCCCCCTAATATGATGAATGGTTTTGTCCAGATTTGAATGATGGGCAAGTCCATTTAAGAAATTAAGTGTGGTAAGGGTTTAAGGGTGCAAAAGCAAGATATGTTTTTAAATATTATGCTGCCTTGATAAAAGTTGCACCAATTTTAGGAATCATTTTTCAACATATAATACAGAATCATATAACTGGTATAATCTAATGTGAAATAAAAGCAAATTAAATGAAGATTTTGGTGAATTGTCAGGTCATTTCTGGGGAAAGTTTAAGCAAAAATAGGTCTCTGGTTTTTAAGCACACATAAAGAATTTGAAAAAAACAGATTGCAACTAACTATTCAACTGCTATTTTTAGTAAATTTAGCAATGATTTAAAGCAAGCACAGCCTGCTATCTCAGAATTTTAAAAACATCATCCTTTCATTTGTGGTACCACAATATGATTTTTATTAGGAATCAAACAATTACTTTACTGATTACAAACAGCCCACTTACGTTTTTTATCTTTTTTAATGGAACAAATATTTCTTAAATACTTGACAAGTTTCTCTATGCAAACAAAAAAGTCCACACTCTAAATCTATACTCATCTTTAACATATTTTTAAAAACATGATACAGTGAATGTCAAGGTCATATATGGTGTCAAGGTCATTGTAGATTGACCTAGATGTTATTGTCATTAATCATTAATTTAAACCTTGACGGCCATGCACACTTGAAAGTTTAGTTAATGTGAAAATTTGTCATTTTCATTTTTATTACAATTTGACGGGGAAAAAAATTACCCGAAGTACCCAAAAACAAGATATTGTCATTAGAAAGACCCACTTAGACCTGATAAAAATAAAATATCAAAATTGATTCAAAGGCTTATAAATTAAAATCTTTGGCAACAGGATATTCTTACTAATCTACAATCAACATACCTTTGTATTACTTTTACTACTTAGTACATAAATAAAATTCATATGTAACAAACACCAAATAATTGCTCTTATATCTCATATGCATAAAACAAACGCGAGAAATCAATAACAAATATGTAAACTCTATTACTCCTACAACAATGTCATATCTCAAATCATAAATTTGTACAACTTGTAAAAAATACTGATAAAAAACAATACATGCAATATAAAAGAAATGAAGAAATAGATAAAGATAGCTAACAATGAAGCACTTTATATATAAGCTAAAACATAAAATTACTTATATTTAACACTGACAGTGAATTAAAAGATATGTAATAATGCTGAAACTGTGTTGTTTGTTTTTTAAAAATGGCTTTACTAAGATATCAACAGTTGGTCAACTTTGTCACCATTTCCTTTCATTCATCTTATATAAATTTAATAAGCAAAATATTGAGAAAGATTTCTTTCCTCCAGCTCATTCAGATGCTTATAAGATCTCTATATCAACAAATTAAGTGCTAAAAATAGGTCAAGATTAAATCTGCCCATTGTGACAAAAAATGTTTTTACTGCAAAAACCAAGCATTTGTCTCAAATCGCATATAAAAAAATTCAAGTTGTCTTTATTATGGCTGAATTTCTCAAGCATTCATGGTCACTAAATTGTTTGTTCTCCCAATAGATTCTGTTTTACGAGATGTAAAAACCCGTCTGTGGATTTTGTATGAAGTTCCGTATATCCCTCTTTATACTGTGACAAATGGGGTCCCCAATCAGATGCTGGTTTTAACAGGAATAAAATACGCTGAAATTATACATTGAAAATTACACATTTTTACTACATGTAGATCTACTTTGGAAAAAAGGTTTTTATGCAGAAAACAAGTATCAAATGTATTTTAATGTTTAGTACTGTATGTCTAAAAAATAACAAATTTAAAAGCAATTTGACATATTTTTTTTCCAGCAAACTAAATTCTGCTTTTTATTAAATTTGTGTGTTACAATATAAAGAAAGAGTATATTTTATAAAACTTTGATTTTTTTAATATTTTAAAATATACATATATTAAAGATACCCCCTGTATAATTTACCTCTTTAAATGAGCCCTTGGCTTGCCATATTTGATAAATCATGACAACCGGTAATGGAATGATTGGGATCATGGCGAGAATGTTCCCTAATACTTTGGCAAACACTGGATATTTGTACCCGTCATAGTCTGGTGGCACATACTGGTAGCACATCACCAGAAATGTGATCTTAAATGTGTAAAATAATTGTAAATGTCACAAAGTAAATATCACCAAAAATTAGAAAAAATAGCCTGGCAGTATATACATGTAAACTGGTAGCACATCACCAGAAATGTAATCTTAAATGTGTAAAATAATTGTAATTGTCACAAAGTAAATATCACCAAAAATAGTTAAATAGCCTGGCAGTTTACATATTGGTAGCACATCACCAGAAATATCAATGAACATAGTTAATGTCACAAAGTAAATATCACCAAAAATACAAAATAGTCTGGCAGTACACAAACTGAAAGCATATCACCAGCAATATATTGATGGACATAGAAATTGTAGTCAAATATATTGGACATAGTAATGTCATAAAGTCAATATCACCAAAAAATAAAAACATTTGTATACTGGTCGCAATATCACCAGAAAAATTTATACTAATGTATCTAGTTAAAGTCCAAAAGTAAATGCCTCACAATACAAAATCAAAGTTTGTCTGTACTTGAATATACTACTAGCACATCACCAGAATTATCAAATAATAACAGACATGATTAATGTCACTAATTGAATGTCACCAAATACCACTAAAATAAATGTCCGCCTAAATGTAAAATCTAAATCTTACCCACTTATCAAACCAAATATGAACTGTAATTAAGCAACAAATAATAAAAGATATATCTTTAGGATAACTCTGATGTATACAAATATTATCAAACACGTCAAGGAAAAATTAAACTACATAACCTGAAACAATGCAAACTGGTTGCATTGCTAGTGTTTTAATTGCCTGATGCATTATGAACTAAAATCTATACTCACAAGTAAAATAACTGGGGTGACAAAACACCAACAGATCCTTATGAACAGTGGCGGAGATCTTCCTATCATCAGCTGGATATCTTTACAAAATCTTCCTGCACCTGTGAAACATAGTAGTAAACTTGTATTCAAATTACTAACATTATAACATGCTTTTAACAAAAAAGACTGATTACCAAATAATAAGTGCTTTGTAATTTTTTTTGTTTGGTTATTAGTCTAAAAGACACTTGTAATTCGGTCATTTGGAGTCTTTTTCAATTTCCCTGATGGAGGCAGATCTTAGGTGCCACTCTGGGTATTATTTAAACACATGCAGAGCACAATGTTGACTTGCCTTGGCCATCAATTCAAGACAATCTAGCTAGCATGAACACTGTGTTGTCTAAAACTCTGATGAGGAGAATAAAGAAGAATTGAATGAATATCAATATTAGAGTTACAGATCTTGGTCTTTGTCAGTGACTTACAATTAGGAACTGACACTTATATTTTGTCTAGTTCACGCATCTATGTGATAGATACCAATGTTTAAAGAATGCAATTTATACGAAAGTAACAGGTACTGCTTTTGCACTGGAACTGCTTGCATGGCAGTATACAGTCTGGATGCACAAGCTGACCTGCTTGGTGGCAAAGACTAATTACATGGTTCCTGCAGGTAATGGGTTAAAAAATCATTTAAGATTGCTTTATGACTGCCTTTCCTTATATAATCACTGGTTGTTTTAATATTCTATGGAGACAACGTACAGTAGCTTGTGATTAAAAATTTACGAATCATGGAAATGTACATTTCAGTTGTATGCATACTTACCATATACCCAGGCAATGAGGAAACACTCCAGGAAAGATATAATAAGCACACAGAATGCTGCAAAATACCAGTCTACCAACTGATATAGATATATACCACACTGTAAAATATATATTGAAATAAATTATAATAATAATGTTCATAATCAAGTCAATTCTGTTCCTTACATAATAAGCAAAATAATACAAGAAGTGGTAACAAACAAAACAGATATTATTCCTTTAACAGATAATTGGTACAATAATTTATTCATCATTTAAAATTTTTTTTATATATATCTAGTGTCGTCATTACGTTTATGTATATACTTCTGTAATTATTTGTTTATTGACCTGCTGAGCATGGTGATGAACATTATAACATGTTTTTTGCCAGTAAAAATTATGAATCTTGATAAGAATAAGTTGAATCATTCTATATTCAAAACTGATGGTACAGTGGAAGAAGAAGTGAAAAAATATATTTCAATGACAATCATAATTATAAAGTTTTCATTTTATTTTTTCATCCTGATGGCATTTAAATACTGCAGATATCATTGATAGATTGTTTGTTTAAAGAAAAAGTCGAGCTACTATTATTGCTGCAGCTTTGTTGTCGTCATTCAATATTAAAAGTTATCACCATGAAATTAAGAACACTTGCTTATGCTGACAAGGTGTAGTTGTTAGACAAGGGGCATAACTCTGAAAGCTTGATTTTTAGAGTTATGCCCCTTTTTAATTATTTAATACATTTAATTTTTGTCAAAAGTCACTATTTTGACAGACAAGCTTTAACACCGCTTGTGGTGCTTTGGTATCATTTCTAGATGATCAAAATTTTTTATGTCACAAATATGTCATTGGAAAGGTTTAACCCAAGTACATATGTTTTACTTTTACTGTTGTTACTATATATAGTACAGTGTAGCACCCTGTAATTTAGGGCAATTACCTTTTTTCATTTCTTCCCAGCAAAAAACTTCATAATAAATCTAATCACCCTAGAGCAAGACCTCTCAGTGACAACTTTCTTTGCATACAAGCATACAATAAAATACTGATCTGCAGAAGTTGTACATGTTTATTGTAACGAAAAAAATAATTCTTACATTTGTAGTGTATGGTAAGTCCAACAGTAACAAAATTACGCAGAAACATCCTGTCACTAATACTTTACGGTTTCTTAACTTCGGGAATGTATCCAGAAATCCGCTTGACAGTGTTTCGAACACACCAAACTGAAATGAAGTATCAGATGAAAATGTTTATGCAGCAATTATGAAAACCCTATGCAATTTGTACTCTTTATATCAAGAGACTAGTAGCAGCTGTAGATAATATTATAAAAAGAAGCTTATGTCATAAGTAGAACAAGGCATGCATGCACTTCTATGACCAGACTTTTAGCAGTTACTGTTTGTTGGTTATTTTTAACAGAGGATTGAATACTTGAAAATACTTCAAATACTAAACATGAGCAAGTAGAACATACCCCATTCTTTGAATAATCGAGGTAAAAAATGGCCTCACAAAAATTTAATACATACCTGACTATCAATACCTAGTGATATTAGCATTAGAAAGAAAAGAGCTGACCAGAGTTGAGGTATAGGTAACTTTGTTATTGCTTCAGGGTAAATGACTAGAGCTAGGCCAGGACCTGAAATAGTGTAGAAATAGAGGATATAAAATGAGTTTAGGTTCAATACCTAATTTATGAACAAGTTAAAAATAAAATTATATTATGCGACCCTCTGGTGAGCATGATATTATTTAATTCAATAAATTCAGGAATGAGCCAGAACCTACACAATTTTTTGTTCTTTTTATCACATACCCAAAATAAACTGTTTAAAGAGCAAAAGAATCATTTTTCATGGGCGCGCCTATAGTGTAATGCTAAAATATAGCACCTCTTTACACTATGTCTGTATAACACAAATAACATCACGTTCAAACATGTGCACCGCCATGCAATATCATTTTTACTGAGTCACAAAAGCTGCACCGGTATGCCATAATACATTATAAGTTTACCATGCTTCAAATGTAAAGTACAATCTCCACAGAGCAACCCCCCTTTGGTTGTTACTCAGAGGGTGTTGCTAAAGAGAGGTTCTATTTATTTTGAAATCTTACTTTGGGAAGAATTTATACTGATGTAAAAATTACATTTCTCTGCAGATGTTTCACTGTAAAACTATTATTTTTTTATTTTCTCATAATCTTAGACTTGTATGCAAATTATGACACAACACAAGGGATATCTGTTAGTTTTCTTTGGTTACAATTAAGGCGCATAAACACAATTTAGGCCATATGGTGCAGAATCAGGAAAGGTGTTTTTTACAAAATGTGGGTGTTACAAACCTTAAGCAACACCAACGGTCATAACTAGCTCACTTTCTGGAGCTTACAGATGCATCAACTTCAGTTTTCTGAACCCATTTAATCGCCTCTTACAATCATGCAGGGGTAAATGGTTATTAGGCTTGAATTCTGACACATCAACCCTTAAAGCAATTCTGATGCCTCAACTCTTAAAGGCAACCCCTAAGCCACTAGGGGCTACAAGTGATATCTTATGATTCAGTAAAGAAAAGTGTAAGACTGACTCATATTATTTAAGTGTAAGCATATTGTGTAAGTGTACGCATATTATTTAAGTGTAAGCATATTGTGTAAGTGTACGCATATTATATAAGTGTAAGCATATTGTGTAAGTGTACGCATATTATTTAAGTGTAAGCATATTGTGTAAGTGTACGCATATTATTTAAGTGTAAGCATATTTTGTAAGTGTAAGCATTATTATGTAAGTGAAAGCATATTCTGTAAGTGTAGGCATATTGTTTAAGTGTAAAGATATTATGTATGTGTAAGCATGTGTTAGTGTAAATATTATTATGTAAGTGTCAGCCAATTTTCCAATTTTTCTATCACTGTGACAAATGACTGTTGGAAAAGCTTCAAAATAAAGTGGAAATGTTGTCTAGTGGTTGCGGTGTCTCACTTTGATTTAATTATGACCACGTTTCTTTAATTGACACCAGTACTGAGCAAATTTGAAAGTGAAAAATGAATTAAGATAAAAACCAGCTTCACAGTAAAGCTGACCATAAATAAGAACTTCATTTAAAGAACAAATGTCTGTTTAACTAATTTAAAACAATGACATAATTCATTTTTTTTTACTTTATTAAATTTATAACTTACCTGAGGTAGCTACATCTTTTATGTCCATATTTGCCTCCTTTGCTATATAACCAATCACAGAGAAGATAACAAAACCACCGTAGAAACTTGTAAATCCGTCTGCTGCAGCACATATCAATGCATCCCTGAAAGGCCATGAACAAAATGTCTGATTACTTTTAATATCCCATCAACACAGTATAGGTCATATGGCGACTTTCCAGGTTAACTGGAGGTGGAAGATCTCAGGTGGTGCCCTTCCATGCATAATGTACTTTCAAACATCTGTGCATTATTTCTGCAATTGTTCCAATCATTATGCCACAAATTGATGTGTGTTTTGATCTGAATAAAAACGTTAAATTATTCTTGCATAGCAGACTGGCGTTTCCGTGCGTTTTATTCATGCCGGAAATTTAATCTGGCATGGGGAGGTGCCAGATGAGTCGCGTGCCAAACAACAATGTCATTGTAGCACACTTTATGAATGAACTTAAAATGACGTCGTTTTAGAAGGGAAATATGTGCTTAGGATGAGGCAAGCCTCGTTACCGCCCAATGGGCGGGTCCCCTCGGGACGGATATTCCAGTCCAAACCGCAACATATGACAGATATTATTATTTCGTAACAGGACTGAACAGCTATACAGCTAGTTTATTGGTGGAAGGTGATGCTAGCACCAATAACGTACCGGAAATGATGAACAGAAGAGGATCATCCTACATTTGTTATTAGTTAGAAATTTTCAATTAATTATTTCCATGTAAGTGTGTTACCAGAAATTGCAAAATCTCATTTTGTCTTACTTGTCCGTTTTTATCTGAAGCACATCTCAACTGGTCCATATGATATTAATATAGTAAATTCTTGAGATTCCATTTGTCCTTACAGTTTGTAGGACAACCTGGGCAATATGGACACTTGATTTTGCACCCTTGATCTGTTTTCATGTAAACATATAGCAGATTGACAGCTAAATAATTTATTTTACCTATGCTTGACCTAAAAGTACCAACTTTGTATTAACATACGCCTATATATTTCAACAATCACAAGGTCCATTAGTTACATGTTACAAGTTACCTTAAACAGTTATTATTGAACTTGTTGTAGCTAGCCATGGTGATCAAACCTCCCCAGGCAGGTCCCAGAGAGTAAAACACCTGCACTGCCGCTTGAAGCCACACCTTTAAGAAATAATAAAATGATATATTTGTCACCTTTTATTTCAGCCTTTTTGGTACATAAATTTTATCAAGAAAATGCCTAGTTTGAGCAAAATAATTCAAACAGAAAAAAATTACATTACATAATTTCAGGTAATATATACTCCTCATCATGTTATAATTTTAATTTGAAAATCAGAACAAACGGACATAAAAAGACCATACACTTTTGGTTAAATGTTACTAAAAACAGAAATTTTTATTACTATAATTAGATCATTACTGGCATTTTGCCAAAATATATAGGCAGAAGTCCAATGTTAATTAATATCAGGGATCATTCTAGGGGGCGATTTCCGCGATTTCTCGCAAGAAAATCACCAAAATCTCAGAGAAATTTGTGAAATGAGAGAAAATCTCGCACGGCAATTTGAGCCAGAAAATGTCTAATCACAATCTAAATAATGCTAAAATTACACAAAAATATGATGTAAAATTCACGATTCCCATCAAGAATTTAATTTCAAATTGTTTATTAATGAAATCGGTGTAAAAAACTCCATAAAGTAGTCCAACACTTTGAATTATTTAGCCTAAAATAATTGCCGATCAGAGACCGCAAATTCACCGTACAGAAATACGGTATGATGGCTAACCTTTATCTATCTGTAAGTCGAGAATTTACACAAAACACTTTTAATTGATTTTAATAAAAATTGTTAGACACAGACTAACATAAAAATGGACATGTCAAAAACAAATACCGGTAAAATTTGTCTTCTAAATGTCACATCAACCACGGTAAATTTTGCCGTAAAAAGCAAATTTAAAAATTTTGTTTTACGATTCCTGATGAAATAGCCGATAATAAATATTCTTTTATTGAACAAAAATATTTAATTTTATATAATTGCAATCAGCAACAGCTAGAATTGTGAATGTTTCAGCGGAAAACAGACAAATATCCATTTGTCACATATTTTCGCGATGTTGTGATTAAAAAAAAACCTAAAAGGAAGCTGAGTGTTATTTAAAGGTGTTTTATAACACTGAAAATGATGTTTATGAATAAAAATTACTTTAGGTATTGTTTTATTTGTGGGTATGGAGATATTTGTCATTATGTGTTCAGGTCACATATTCAATGAATATTTTTTAATGGAGGGAGGTGTGTGAAGAGAATCATAAAGAAAATAAAATTTTAGGTTATAAAAAATATTCTTCAAATCTCAACAATCACTTCTGTACAGTACAGTGTTGTCCATTAGGAACATTGGCTGCAAATAATAGTTGTAGTAGATATACATGTATAATTCTTTCATATTTCAGAATAAAAGTGTTATATTTAATTTTCACAATTAGAATTTTTTATGTTTAAAAATTCACAAAAGAAAAGGCATAGGATGTGTTAAAAAAGAGAAAACAAAAATCACTGTAATAAACAGAGCTACATCTTCTTATATCCTCATTAGATAAACAATGTTTATACGTACAGTGATTTTAAAAAGTTAGAAATTTCCATATTTTTAACCTCGCCCATCATGAAAATCAAATCTCTCAAGAAAATCTAATTTCTCTCATTAAAATTTCTCAAATGAGAGAAAATCTCTCACTAAAAATCCTGACCAGAATGATCCCTGTAATATCAATTATTTAATAATGCAGCTCAGGCAATTCTGGCAAAGTTTTTGAGGTAAAACATTATTATGCTGTACCTGACCATCTTTGAGGATAGAAAAATCAGGTTTGACATAATATGTGATGCCATCTATAGCTCCTGGTAGAGTTAGCCCTTTCACTAGAAACACTGCAATAAAAACATGTCTAAAATTCATCTATAATTTAACTGATTATTATCATTCAATTATTTGATTATTTAACATTCTTTGAACCACAGGCACGAGTATCGGACCTGGGAAGAAAAAATATGACCAGATTGATACAGAAACCTGTGTTCATCTTAAAAGTGTCAAAAAATCCCCAAAAAATGTAAATATTGAACCCCTTTAAAAATATACTATAAGTTAACTTATAGTATATTTTTAAAGGGGGTCATTATTTAAATTTTTTGGTTTTTTTTTACACTTTTAAGATGATCACAGGTTTTTTTAATCAATCTGGCCATATTTTTTCTTCCCAGGTCCGATACTCGTGCCTGTGCTTTGAACAGATGATGTCAAACTATCACATTGACATTTGACCTTTATCAAAAATATTTATTTCAGGCACAAATGGGCACCTGAGTAGAACCACCGATGTTCCTTAAGCTAGCTGAATAGCTTCCTCACATGAAAGAGTCCAAAGTCCCTGTTAGGTTTCAAACCCCCCGAGGTAAGAGGAAAGTGGTTTAAAGTCAATGACCTAAACCATTCCGCCACAGGCTCTTGATACAAAGATTTTAGACTGAAATCATTTGAACTGTAATCGAGACTCCAGAGCTCATATATTTAAATCAAAACCTTAAATCTGTATAATTGTGCAAATTATAAACAAAAGCTTTAGTACACATAAATACCTATATCAAAAAGTTTACAATATATCAACTCATTTGAGATTTTTCATGAAAATAGGTTAATTTTGGAAATTTTAGATACCGTTTTGGGTAAAACAGCGTTTTTGCCTTTTGAAACATGTTCAATACCAGACCCGCTTAGAAAAGAGGGAAAAAGAAAAACACTGGTTTAGTTGGAAAAATATGCATTTTGCCTTTGGGAACATGGTTATCTAAAGAAGGAAGAAAATTCAACAAACCTTGAATAGTTTTTAACATATGAAATAAAAAGGAAACTCTGAGTACTTTGAATAAACAAATAAGCCGCGTCATGACAAAACCAACATAATGGGTTTGCGACCAGCATGGATCCAGACCAGCCTGCGCATCCACGCAGTCTGATCAGGTTCCATGCTGTTCGCTATCAGTTTCTCTACTTGTTATAGGGTTTGTAAGCGAACAGTATGGATCCTGATCAGACTGTGCTGATGCGCAGGCTGGTCTGGATCCATGCTGGTCACAAACCCATTATGTTGGTTTTGTCATGACGCGGCTCAAATGACACTCACCTGTGAGAAGAATATATGGTAATACAGCTGTAACGTACACCACTTTCCCCACAGACTTGATCCCCTTCATTAAACACAAGAATATAACCACCCAGGCCACAATAAGGGCCACTGCTAGATGCCATTGTATTGTACCCACGTCTTCAAGACCAGTAGACTTGTGTAACACATATCGACTGAAAATAGACATACGGTCAAGGTCATTATCTAAATTATTCAACATTCTTCGGGAAAAACGATAAGTATCATAAAATGTTTTAGCAAAACAATTTTGGGCTACACTTTTCCAAAATATCATCTAAAAATATCATAAACAATGTTTTGACAAAAAATATTTGGCTAAATTTATAACTCATTTTGATCTGAGGTCAGAGCTGAAATTATATAATCATAAAAAAAAGAGCAAAAAATCTCATAATTGTAATAGGACAGTAAATTCTTCAATTTATTGCAAATTAATTTTAAGGAAAAAGCACAGACATACATAAAAAATACAATGGGAAATATTTTTATTGTAATTTTTTTTTTGAATTATTTCTGAAATACATTTTTTATGCATTTTATGCCCTACTTTCCCAGAGACTGTCAAAGGGAGTTTTAGTACATCTATACTAATACATGTAGATCTACTTTGTGATATTTTAAATGTTTATACATAGATCACATTTGTTAAGTTCACTCCTCACTTCACTATTTACAAGGTAATTTCATACATTATAAACTGTACTGTAAAATCAAATATTTTTGTGAGGCCAAAATTTCACAAAATCAATATTTCAGACTTGGTGAGGTTAAATTTCAGAAATTTCTACTGTCAGTTCTGTTAAATTCATACATAAGTTAGATAAATAATGATCATTTATTTTTCATGTAAATCTTCTATGCACATAATAAGGAAAAAAATCAGTATAGTAACCAAGCCCCACATACTTTGAATTTCAGCAGCTATTATTACATTTTTATAGCATAAATATAAATGAAGGCCTGTTTGCTCCTAGATTTTCTCGATATTTAAATATATATGAGTCGCGTCACGACAAAACCAACATAATGGGTTTGCGACCAGCATGGATTCAGACCAGCCGGCTCATCCACACAGTCTGATCAGGATACATGCTGTTCGCTATCAGTTTCTCTACTTGTTATAGGGTTTGTAAGCAAACAGCAAGGATCCTGATCAGACTGCGCGGATGCACAGGCTGGTCTGGATCCATGCTGGTCGCAAATGCATTATGTTGGTTTTGTCATGACGCAGCTCATATGCAAATAACAAAAAAAAAAAAAAATCAGGAAAGATGAGAAGCTAACAAAACTGGCAAGAGATTAAAATAGCCCTAATGCGTGTGATAATAAGCAAAAAATGACTGAAAAACAACCAGTAACATTTAAATTTAAGATGAATTTTCATAAAATAAATACATCTACTGAAAGTACATATATAACTGAAAACAAAAATTGACAATAGCAGCTGAATAATATGGAATTATTTTTGGTTAAATTTAATATTTACATAATTACTTCTACAGTTTATAAAGTACACAATAACATTCGTTTTTATCAGACAATTAATTATAATTAGCTACAGTACTCATGTCAATATTTTGATACAATATTTAATTACATATGTAACTATTTTTAGCTGGGTTTAAGCCTTGCAGACATCTTTTAGCAGATATGGGTTCTTTCTAACCTTCCATTTGGGGGAAGACTTCAAATGCCTCTCTGTGCATTATTTCAGGCACAAGCAGGCACCCAAGTAGAACCACCAACCTTGTGTCAGTTAGCTGGAAATCTTTCAAACACATGAAAGAATTCAGTTTCTTATGGGATTTAAACCAACAACGGTCAGGGGCAAAATAGTTTGAAGTGATCTTAACCACTCATCTGTACAAAACTTCAAAGCAAGGAGTTCCTTCTTGAAAACTAAAGCAAATGCAAAATATAGTGTTGCTTTGTTCATTTTGTTGGACTAACTTACTGCCAAATTCTTTACTAGCCGTTCTCCCCAAATCTGACGCATTCACTTTGATAAATGTTGAGTTTGTTGTACAGTTTGCGCCACATTGCTGACTTAGGGTATCAAGCCCGGTAATGCAGGAGTCCGTGTTCCACCATTGCCCACACTTGCCCCACGGCAGCTCCGCACTGAAGGACTGAACAAAGTATACCATCACCCAGACCATCACCATGATGTAATACCAGCAGTATACGAATGATACCACCAACATCATGTAACCAATACCTACATAATGATAAGCCATAAATGTATAAATAATATCAAGGTAAGTGTTATTTGTAAAGAAAATTTCGATTGGGAAGCCCTTGATAGGCCTCTGCTATATAAGGTGAAAATCACTGACATATTATTAACTGCTTTAGTATCATATATTAATCCTGAACCTAATAAATTTGAGAAATGGACCTGCTCAAGTTTGAATTTGGAACAGACCATTCAAAATTGGAGGGATTTCAATAACAAAAGCAAACAATGTCATGACAAACATACATCATATAGCTGACCTGGCTCTTTACTGGTCGTCAAGGTTAACCACTTTTGGTTCCTGCCGGTTTTGTGTTAAAATTCTAACTGGTAATGAACAGTAAACATCAGTTGAAAAAAAAAACACAAAGAAAAAAAACATATGACCTTTTTATCATAACATAATAAGATACCACCATCTCTTGTTATGTTAACCATTGTATTTGGCAAGCTTGCAAATTCATAAAGGGCAAAAATTTCATGAAGAGAAATAAAATTAGGCCAAACTAAATTGACATTTGGTAGATCAGATTTCTTTTTTATAGCACTGGATCTAAGAGCCAAAACAAGAAATGTCAAGACACATATGCCCCCCTTTCTAGCCCTTGACTCACATTACTGGTAATTTTGTAATAAAAATTTGCCATAAATGGGTACATAGAAGTATTCAATAATGGAAAAAAAAGAAATAATTAAGACTTTATGATAAATAGTTTTCAAGATAATGAAACATTTAAGGCCCCTGTGACCTTGACCTTTGACCTAGTGACCACAAAATCAATAGGGGTCACTTACTAGTTATGACCAATCAATATTAGAAATATGAAGACTCTGTGATCAAAATAATAAACAGAAACTATTCTGACATTTAAGGCCCCTGTGATCTAGTGACCCAAAAAGCAATACGGATCATCTTTTGGTTATGACCAATCACTATGTGAAATATGAAGACTTTGTGATAATTATCTTTCAAGATAATGAGCTGAAATCCTCTACCATTCAAAAACCCTCGACCTTGACCTTTGACCTGGTGACCTTAAAATCAATAGGGGTCATCTACTAGTTATGACCAATCAATATGTGAAATATGAAGACTTTGTGATAATATTTTCAAGATAATCAGCGGAAGCCATGTGGTCTACTGACGGACAGACCGACAGACTGACTGACATTAGGAAAACAATATATCCCCTCTTCTTTGAAGGGGGGCATAAAAATAAAGAAGAGCCCGAATGCGGTGTTAATGCTTGTCTGTTAAATTTAAAGTTAAAAAGGGGCATAACTCCAATCATACTGCTTTCATAATTATGCCCCTTGTCAAAACATGAGAAGCAAGTATTCCAAGTTTCATGTTGAAAATGTTAAATAATGAGCTACATTAAAGTTTTTGAATGACAATGCAGCAATCATAATAGCTCAACTTTTTTTGAATGCTCTACCAAATGATAGATGGATTTTTAAGTAATACTGACTGTTAAGGTCATATGGCAATGTTTAATTTTTTTGGTTGGGTTTTCATCGCACCAACACATTATAGGTAATAATTATGGCAACTTTCCAGTTTAACTGGTGGAAGAGGACCTCAGGTGCTCCTCAGTACATTATTTCTGGCAGAAACGGGCACCAGAATAGAAACACCGCCTTTCTGTAAGCTAGCTGGATAGCTTACTCACATGTAGAATGCTGAATCTGACATTTAATGACACTTGTGCATCTCAAACCTACAGTTGTGAGACATACGGCGATGTTCCAACTTAAGATATATACTATTTACAAATGGATTACAATGTAACCTATTACCTTACCTTTGAACAGAGGACAAAATTTCCACACATACAGGCAGCTTATTCCAGAGAACTGTCCTAAGCATAATTCAAGGTAAAACAGAGGTACTCCACAGAATATTAGGAAGAAGAAGAAAGGTATCAAAAATGCACCTGGAAAAAAACAAGAGGAAATGAGTTTTTACATTTGCAAATCATAACAAGAGCGATCAGTAATCACATGTGTCGCCTCATGATGGCCAATTTCATGTTGGGACAAATTTTGTGACAGATGGACAGACAGTGCACAACTAGACTTGGTACTGATCATTCCTGTAAAGTCTGGATAAAATTGCACCAGTAGTTTATGAGGAGTAGTCCGGACAAGCTTTTGCGTATCTGGCAACACACAGAAAAAAAACACCTTTTTATCAAAGGGCCATAACTCGGCCAAAAATCATTCAACCGGAAAACCCGTGCAATATGCGCAAGGACTTGAGCTACAGATCAATCCTGTAAAGTTTCATTGAAATTGCATTAGTGGTTTAAGAGAAGTAGTCCGGACAAACTTTAAAATTAAAAATTATTAAAGGGCCATAACTCTGACAAAAATCATTGAACCGGAAAATGCTGACAATATGCACAAATAGACTTGGTACTGATCATTCCTGTAAAGTTTGGATGAAATTGCACCAGTAGTTTATGAGGAGTAGTCCGGACAAGTTTTGTGACTGACGGACGGACAGACGGACGGACAGACAGACAGACAGACAGACGACGGAGAAGTGATCCCTATATGTCGCCACTACTCCGTAGAGGCAACACAAAAAAAGGATATAATTATCTCTATATCTTTATGTCAAATTTGAGTTGAATGAGTACAACTGTTGTGGAGGTAAAGAACTGAAACTGAAAATTTCCTTTTTTTTTTTTTGAAAGTTTAAGAAGGGTAACTCTGTTAATTTAACTTGCTTATTCCTATAACATATCCATATCTTAAATTGAAATTGAAAGTGTACAACTGTTGGGGAGATAGTGAACGGAAACTGACATTTTTTCTCTTTTTTTTTTAAATAAAAAGGGCATAACTCTCCCAAAAATCATCAAACCATGACCAAATTTGAAGTTGAATTAATGTAAATCCTAACAATAATTACCTCCCTTGGTGAATTACTTTCCTAAATATGATTATCTCCCTTGTTGAAATAACTTCTTTAAGACAGATTTAACTCTTGAATTTGAATTTATTTAAAAAGATTCTTTTTTGGATGGATTTACATAGAAAAACACAGTATAGTGTATATGGCAACTTTCCAGCTTTACTACTGGAGACCTGACAGGTGCCCTTCTGTGCATTATTTCAGGCACAAACAGGCACCTGAGTAGAACCACCGACGTTCCATATGCTAGCTGGATAGCTTCCTCACATGAAAGAATACAAAGTCCCTTGCCGGATTCGAAGTCAACAACATTAACCACTCGGCCAAACACAACCAAAGAACTTTTTTCTTCCTTAAAAAAAATAATTACAAAATGTTTAAAAAAATTAACATTACAAAATATTTTTGGAATTACTTTCCTTATTGAATAATACATTTTGAATAATAATTACCCCCACCAACCCCCTTGTTGAATTATAACATTTTTAATAACGGTATGTTGAATCAACTTTTGAATGATTTGAAAAATAACAATTTAAATTTTAGAATAATAGTTAACATCCTTGTTGAATTATCATATTAACATTAAATATCTCCTTTTATCTGCATTTTTGTATGTAAGGTGATAGATCCTTAAAATTTATCTTATTTTAGAGTGGAGGTATGGTCGAGTGGTTAACAAATCAAACTAGTAATCTAAGGATTGTTGGCCGCATGGGTTCAAACCCCATCATTAGCAAGCCGTTGTTTCCTTGAGCAAGAATCTTTACATTCACTGCTTAGAACTGGTTGGTTCCAGGAACGGATTAGAGTGTTTCAATAAGCTTTTAGCTTCCAACAATCGAACTAAAATAAATTCGTATAAACTTAACATTCATTGGCATTTCTAAACCTAATTAAGATTATGCAAAAGATCTATAAAAAAAATCTTATTCAAAATTCAATAGCAAATATTGTAACTTGAACATAATGGGCTGAATTTAGAAAATGTGCTACCTTATGATAAATGCTTCAAATTAATTTTTAACATTGTCACCTACCTCCACCATTCTGCATAACCAAATATGGAAATCTCCACAAGTTCCCCACGCCCACAGAATAGCCCACCACCGAAAGTATAAACTCAATTTTCCTGTTCCACACACCGCGGGCATAGTCGACGCTATCATCGCTGACAGAGTCGGACTCGTTCAGGTCTGGACTTTGGTTGGCAGCTAACTCGTACTCCCCTTTATCAACTTGCTTTTTATCACTCTGAAAATACAATCACTCTGAAAATACAGTCATGTCGGATATATGGACCACACTTATGACAGTATCCAAATGAAGAAAACATGATAGAGCAACCATTTGCCCTAAGGAGTATTTTTGGGGGCACCAATTTCGAAAAAAAAAAACAACAACAAAAAACCTGTAAGATGTAACTATTTTCGTTGATTCACAAACATAAATTATGAAAGAAAATTTTGAAAACAATTTACATTATTCCTTATTCAGTATGTTTAATGATGTTTGTCGGAACTTTGTCCACATGGGCCTTACCGCTTTTTTTTCTGAAATTTATGAACATCTTCCTTTCAATTATGTACATTGCCAATAATTTCTTTTTATCATTATATATGAAACAAACAAACTGTCTACCTATCAGGAACAGCCTGAAATAACTCATACTCTTTTATTAACACAAGCACGCACACTCATGCATATTATAAATTGTCAGCACAAGTTTAAACTTTCCAGATTAACTCTAACTGCTCAAAAAATAGCAAATTGTAAAATATTTTAAATTAAACTTCATCAACAAACTTATTACAGTCCTTTATATAAGACATCAAAACTTTAAAGAAAATCCACATTAAAACCAACCAAATTAAAATATTTATATAAAATATCCATCACTAGCTAAACAAAGTTAAACACTTAATGATGTCAAAGCATCGACTAATATTTAGCAGTAATAAACATGCACTTCTGTACTCAGATCATTGGAGTATATGCCACAGGTTTATTTTTTATTTTGAAGAACATAATAATATTATTAATTAAAATCCCAAATTTGAAATGTTTTAAAGATAAAGTTGACATGCAACCTTAGTATTATCATTATTACTGTTTAATTTTATTTCTTTTATACATGTAATTTAATGTTTAATTATTTTTTATACACGTAATAATACAGGTAATTTTATTTTGTATTATTATTATTACTCCTACAATAAGATAACATAAAAATAATTAGAAATGTGTCGTAACACCACAAATGCCCAGCATGCAGCCAAAATTTCAAATGTTATAATATTTAGTTCCAAATTTGTGTGCACAAACCATTTTTTCATATCTAAAGTTCAAGGACATGAAACTAGTCGGCATTAACCTTTTGCAAATTGCATAAATTGCATATCAAAAAACATCTGACCATGGCCAAATTAAAACTCCACTTGAATTTTTTTGGTGAAACCAAATTCAAACTCGACTTGTATTTTCTGGTTGATACCTGCACATACCATTTCGACCTTATATATACATTTCTACGAAAGTAAGAGTGCAGAAACTGAAAATTTCAAATTTTAAACATTAAATTTCAAACATTAAAGAGGGATAACTTTGTCAAACTTAATCAAACCATGACTAAATACAAAATTGACCTGAGCATTCCTTTAATATATCCATATAGAAAATTTGAGTTGAAAAAATACAACTGTTGGGAAGATAATGAACGGAAACTGAAAAATATTTCAAAGGGCATAACTCTGTCAAAAGTCATCGATCCATGACCAATTTAAACTTGACATTCATATATCTATGATATATATATATATCCATATATTATTAAAATTTGAATGTGCGTGGCTGTTGCTAAGATAATGAATGGAAACTGATGATGACAGATCAGGGTATACCACTATATGCCTGGCCATTTTATGGCGGGGGCATAATGAAAATAAGCAGTCACCAGTAAATTGGCCGATCAGATTGTTCTAAGTACAGGCCTCCCTAACAGCTAGACAGATTATTGGTATTGACTGGAGATTTTTTATGTCATCTCAATGCCACAAAAAATACAAGAGATAGGAGCTAACTATATTTTGATTTTGGGAGGAGGTGGGGGGATATCTTCTTCTTTAATACATAAATATTCTGATTTTTTTTTTTTTTTTTTTTTTTTTTTGATAATAGTTTTAACTTTTATTTAAGTTTTTTTTTACTTTAAATGCTTACATCCTGTAACTGATGTCACAGTGGCAAAAAAACTAACTTTTGAAGTTTCTTCAAAAAAAAAAAAGGTTTTTGTGAGGGAGATAGTAGATACCGTCAACTTTGTTATTGAATAATTATTCACTCCATGGAAATATTGATCACTGAATTTTTTTGGGTGGTTTAAGTGATACTCTTTTCTTCAACAATATCGTGTTTTATAGCTGTAACTTTAACACTGAAGACTGAATTTGTGCTCCTGGCATCAACTGACTCTACCCATACAACCAATACAGACCAAGATAAGCCAGAACATCCCTGTCATCTGATCATGGTCTGCACTGATTTGCTATTCAGTCAGTACTTATTTTGATATTGTCCCTAAATTGAATAAGTTAGGTAAAGATTGACAAATTCTTGTGTATTATATTGTATCCATATACTTTTTAAGTAATTTCTTATCTCATTAAACATTCTCACATTACATAAACCATTATTTTGCAATTATATATGTTAATGTCATTTGTCATTTATGTATTATATGTTTTATTTGTATATGTTATATGGTGATGAGCTTTTTATGCTTAAACCAAGAAATAAAGATTCTGTTCTGTTCTTTAAAACATGAATGGTTTTGTCCAGATTGACAGATTGGCAAGTCTAGTTAAGATATTTAGTATGGTAAGGGTTAAGGTTAATGACAGTTTTTCCAAACACATGATTTATGTCTTAAATCAGGTATTTCTGTCTGCTTTATACATTTATTGATTGAACTTAAACCTTTGAAATTACTGATAAGAAAGATTTCTCATTTACTGATACTGATAGGAATTCAAAATTGAGGACATCGTAAGATTTATTATATTAAAATCAATATTTACAATCAAGACTGGTACAAACAAGAGATAAAAGCTAAAAACAAATGCCTGTAGACAAATATGAAGTAAAAAGATATCACTGAATCCAATATGTTTCCAATTAAATCTTTTTTTTTTTAAAAAGGGTTTGGGTTTTGTAGCCTGACAGTGAGACTTTAAATAGCATGCCCATGTGATTTTGAATTCCATCACAGACTGTGAGGTTGCACCTTTTATTATTCTAGTCTCATTAGAACAGAGTTTGCAAATTTCACCTTTGCACTCAAGGGACCTCCACTTTTCCATAATTTGGATTCTTTTTATGAGAAAACTTTCCAGCTACATGTAGCTTATGAAAGTGGAACTGCAGCCATAGATGTATTCTTGAAATTCTTCTGCCCGAAATACTGAATTCCTCCTACATTTATAGTGCTGGTAATGAGGTGTTTAAATTAGATAAGGCTTGGGGAGATAGTAATGCTGAAGTATTTGTTCACTATTAAGTATTTCTGCTTATCATAGTGTAGGATTTAATCTAGGCTTTTTAAATTATAGATCAGCCTCAGATGGTCAACTTTGTTGAATGTCTTAGAAAAGTCTGTGAAAATAACATCAGTTGTAATTGGCGGTGTGATTCTAGATTGTCTTAAATCTAGTTCCTGCATAAGCTAACACAGCTATGACCTGAACAAAAACTGTGCTAATAAAAGGTCATACAGTGAGATTCAAAGTATATGCTTATGTAGTTGAAACTATATTTTGTTAGGGGTGTCATCGATTCAATCGATATCGGTGTATCAACGATCTTTGTTATCCGATTCGATATCGATTCCATTTTTTAAATATCGGATATCGAATGCATATATAATTTCTAGCTAAAGAGACTTCAGCAAACAGGTTTTATAGAACTGACAGACCTGTTTACTGTCGCAAAACATCAAAATAAAAGCGACATATAAAGTTATGAATGCCAGAAACATTTTTTTATCTAAAATGAAAATGGAAATCAATGCCAAAGTTACCTCCCAGTGTCTCTAACGAATGCTGCCTAATTTCGTTGTAATCTCGCACGTCTGCTAAGTGGATGTGTAGAAATGCCAAGAAAAATTTGTCAGTGTTTCTTTGAAAAATTTATGATTACAAAATGTTAAACTTAAATAATTATTCAGGTTCTACACACTATAATTTGCCAATTAAACCCGGCCTAATTGTAACGGCAAGGACGGGATTTAGCATGATCAGTAACTACATAATAGCAACAACAACAACTAAAGTAAAATGGAAAAGGCTTTAAACTTTATAGTTACTAGTCATTAGTTTTCATTTATAGCTATATGATAAAAAAGAAACAAATTGTTCAGTTTTCATAGTTTATCTTTTTTGCATTTGTCTATATATAACTGCTTTGTCAGTGTCCTTAGGAAACATTTAAAAATACTTGAAAGCTAAAATTTAGCCTGGCAATCGATATATCGCTGTATCGCCGATAATTCATTACCGATATATCAATACAAAAATCCTTATCGATGACTCCTCTATATTTTGTCTAGTCATACAGGGTTTTTTTCCAGGATTTTGGGAACATGACCCATACCCATGGAATTGGGAATTTCAGCGATGTTTTGTTAAAAACTGGGGAAAAATGCATGACTTAAATTTTGCAGTGATAAAATGAATGCAGAGAATCACTGTCTAGGACAACATCTTCATACATTTAAGAATAATAACAGTGAAGAAGCCCTTATTTTCAAAGATTTTACATTTTGTTTTTCATATTTTTATTTTGTAACTTTCAATTGGGAATTTTTTCTTGTTGGTTGGGAAAATAATATACTATTTTCAATTGGGAATATGACCGAATTTCGGCTATGAAATAAGCCAAAAAAAATCCCTGTCATATCCTTCCATTTTTTCAAATTCTTCAGTACATTTAATCAGCACCAACTTGTCAAGAAATATTATCATATCAAATCATCATAAAAATATTATCATATCAAATCATCATAAAGTTTCCACCCAACTGAAAAATAAATGCCCTAACAACAGCCAAAAAAATCAAACTGTGTCCAATTTAGAGAAAAATTGAACTGATTTTACTTGATTTTTATAAAAAAAAAAGTGGTAGCTATGGTTACATGTATTTTCAATGCAGTTTATTTATGCCTTGGGCTTTTTCCCAAAATGTTATATGATGTCATGAAAATTTATCAATGTATTTTTTTTTATAATTTTTTATTTAAAAATAATTAAATAACAGTAATTAAACAAAACAGTTATTGCTGGATCAACTTTCAGTTGAATGTCAGCATTAATTTCACTATTTAAAGGGTTGTTGATAATCCAGTTTAGTCCGATTTTATATTATCATATTAATGTTCTAGATCTAGTTTGAACTTGGAACCTTTTTTTTTAAATGTCCTTGATGCATGTTATAATGCATGATCTACTTGGAACAACAATCGGAATCATTTAAACAACTTTAATTTTTAATTTGCAAACCAGAGAGACATTTTCGTATGATGAGCTTTGTTATTGGATAAATTCATAATCATATGCTAAAAAATCGTACATCCGAAATTTGCACATGAGTATCATATCCGACTACTATGACATTACGATTTATTAACCATTTTGTATCTGATTAACTGTCGCTCGGCAGTAGTTTAGAACAATAAAATGTGATAAATAATTATTAAACAAACCCTTTTTAGCAGATGATCACACTTAAAACCTCCCATTTTACACCCAAATACTGGATTTCAGACGATATTATAATTGCATGCACGTAAATCCAAGGGACTTTACTCCTACGAACTGCACTGTTTAAGGTTGCGAGGTATTAAATTAAGAATAACAATGACGCTGTAGACTTGCCATATATTTTCTAATAATTCTAACAAATCTATTGAGTCAAGCCTGAAACTACTTATGTAGATCTAACTAATTACCTATTGTAAGAACCGATAGAGACTTTGTAATTATAAAGCTTCATACATAGATCTTCCAAGGAATTTATTTACAAACCCATCATCTATTGGTAGAGTTCTTCATGACAAAGGGTACTGGAAGGGATTTAAAATTAATTAGTATCGATCCAACCATAAATGCATTGTCCTGCAAAATTCCAGCTAACTCCCTCACACCCCATCCCCAACTATCTGTATCTGTATCTGTGAGGGTACGTCGTAGAGACCAAAATCTGGCTTTAACACGACGGTGAAGGGAGTGCGCCTTAGTCACAAAGTTTTATAGAGTTTTTAAATTGTTGAACTGTTGATGAACACACTTGAGAGTCACTTAATTTATTCCAGTCTAACACTGTTCTGATGAAGAAGGAATTTTATAGTTTTCTGTTTTTAACATATACTGTTAACAACTTTTATTAATTACCACACAGGGATTTTCCACAATATTATAAATTTCACTATAATGGTCTTAATTATGTATTAGCTCTTACAGATCGTCTAATGCCTTGAGGGGTAGGTCATTGCCCGTATGTTAATGGCCGGTACTTGCCCTCCACTACCATATAATCAAAGTAAGCCCCGGTACGTGTAGTCTTCTGCGCTCTCCAGAGAAGGCTTGGTAATTCCCAATTGTTCCAGCATTTGATGTAACGCATCAGGACTGGATCCGCTAGAAGTATAGTTATTAGTAATAAATCGAGCGGCTTGCCTTTGTAATACGTTCAAGTTTTATCAATTTCGTTTTGTATAAAGGGTCCCAGATAGTGCATCCGTATTCTAATTTGGAGCGGACTATAGGGCTAAGGTAGGCATTTTTGCGGGCCCACTGGTTAGGACAATGGGTAAGTTTCCTTCCTTAAAGAATCCAATAGATGAGTTAGCTCTTTTACAGATGTTACTCAATATGCGTTGACCATTTCAATGTCATCCGAGAAAGTGATACCAAGGTAACCTATATCCATTATGGACAGGGGGAACGAATCATTTTGGCGCCAAAACATTCTCACTGGTGGTGAAAGCTGGTTTTACTATTCCATTATTAATTTACGCCAGTTCGCAAGTGTAACAATTAGATATGAGCAATCAAAAATATGTTCGCCAAGCGAGTGAAAAGTGTACAGAAAGATACACGTATGTATAACATGTTTTTGTTTGTTTATTTTTTTTGTCAATACCCGAGGAACTGCAAACGTGCTGTCCAAAATACTGTTTCTAGAGGCCGTTCTGTCACATCTAAGTATTATGAAGTTGTCGTGTTAAGAAAACTTGAAAATATTAATAAAATGACTTTAATAAAGTTTGTCCGTCGACTGGTATGAAAGTCTTGTATTTTCTATATGACAACGCCCCTGCAAACAAAAGAGCTACTCGAAAAATGAGTTACTGTCCTTAAACATCCAACGAATACTCCAGAGTACCCTGCAACCTTTTTCTTATACTGAAAAACAACAACAACAACAACAACAAAACAACAACAACCCCCCACAATCTAACAACAAACAACAAAAACAACAACAACAAAACAAAACATCTTTCATGTAATTTCTATGTTACAAGAAAAAAAAAATGGACTTGGTCGGCCATTTTATCAGTTATTGAAAGGTATACTAAGGAGGACTATGTTGTAGCCTTTTAAAAAATTAAATTAAACCCGCCCCTAAAACCCTTTGGGTATTTTTGTAGGGAGTTTTTTTTTAAAAGGGGGTTAAAAATGGGGAAAATTGCAAATATTTGTTTTAAAATTTTTGTTTAAACCCTCCCCATTAAAAAAATTTAAAATAAAAACAAAAAAAAGGAAAATTTTCCCAATTAAAAAATTTTGGTTTCCCTAACCCGACCCCCGGGGCCCTTTTTTTTGGGTATCAGGCCCAACCCAAAATGAGTTTAAAAAAGCATAAAATGGGAATCATTTTTGGGAAAAATCGCCCAGTCCCTTATTTCTTTTTGCTTTGAGAAATCCCCCTTCGGATACCCGTACAATCAATTTTTAAATCAAAAAACATGACTATAAGTAAGAATTTTCCAAAAAGGTAAAAAATTCCGAATGTAAGGGAAATTTTTCATAAAATTTAAAATCTTTTTAAACCCAGATAAATATTTTTCTGAACCCCAGGGGGTTAGCTGCAAACCGGAAGCTAAACGGTTAAAGAGTTTTACAAGGGAAAATATTATATTTGGGCTGTGTTTACGGATAGCAGTATAAAACTATGACGTAGCGCATACAGAGTGAATTAAGTCCTTCCATTTGCCATTTGTTATAATTTTAAAATTCCGTTATAGAACTTTAGTGTTACCGTGCCCTTTTCCCATTTACAATTTCTTAATTTATTAACAATATTTTGAAATAGATTTTCAAAAATTTACTGTTAAAAAGGTTAATTTGAAACTGTTTAAAATGTTTAGTTTTTAGGAGCCGGCAAAAAAATATTTTTTACATATTTTTTTAATGTTCAGTTTAAATTTCCTAAATAGACATAAATAACATATATTTTATTAAAGTCCTTAAGAACATTTAACGCTCCGACATTTAATTTACAATTTGACACGTATTTGTAGCATGCGTAATAATTATAATCATATTTACAGAAATAGAAAAACACATACATTATACACAAAACACAAAACACAACGGCTACACACAATAATAAACTTAATTTACTGACCATACTGCATTACATTGACACACCCTCGTAAATTGCTTATTTGGACAAACTGTTTTGATCGGTAAAAACAGATAAACGTGAGTTTCAGATCCGAGAGACTGTTCTTAAACGAATTAGCAAGATTTGTAAAATAAATTTGAAAACTTTCTACACATTATATTGACAGTTAATCAGCAAAAAAAAAGTAACATGTAGAAAACCAGTTTCTTTTTGTAATAATAGTTGGGCAATGGAGAAATCTTTCCATTTATAACAACCACAACCGTATGGACCATGGTTTGCTTCCCCTTTTTAAAGAAATGGAGTAAAAAAGATAGAAAAATGTCGAGAAACCATGCCTGAATGCTTGATTAAATAATAAGGTTTCTATCTTCCCCATATCATTTTTTTTACCCTTTTAAATTGAATTTAATAAATTTAAGAACAATTTTTTGGTACCTTAAACATTTGGGGGGTTTTTAAACCCTTTTAGAAAATTTGAAAATTTTTTTTTATTTTTTTTTTCGCGGGGTCATTTGAATTTTTTTTAAATTTATTTTTAATTTTTAAAAGTTCGAAAATTTTTTAAAAACCATTTTTACAATAGTAAGTGGATGTTTAAATTTAAAAAACAAGGGACTACCCGTTTTTAAACTTTACATTTAGTTTGATCCCGGGAGGGGTTTTTTTAAAAAAATTTTGGTTTAAAAATTTTAACCCTTTGGAATAGTTTATACGGGTTTAAAATTTTAAACCCAAGGGCCCCAAGAATAAGGGGAAAAAATTTATTTTTGACGTTGGATAGACCCTGGTACCTTAAAGGGAAATTTGCGCAGGGTTAACTTCCCTGATCAGTTAACCAGTAAATGCCAAAAGTAAATTGGTTTTAATATAGCCGGATATTATTTTTTTACTTTTCATTTTTAAAATAGAATACCTTTGATATTCCTTTTAGTTTTCTTTCATTAAAAATAGTTTGGCTTAATGTACAAGAAATAATGAAAAAAATTAACGTTTAAAAATACTATTTTGTTAAACATAAAGAAAGATATTTTCACTGTGGACACCGTATTGTATAAGTAAACAATGACAGAAGGGCTAGACATATGAACCGTTGGGCCAAAAGATTTTGAATGGCATTTGTTTTAAAAGTGTTAAAAAATTGGGTGTTTTGGAAAAATATTTTATCCTGGAAAGGATGGTTATTAATAAAAACCTGCCAGTTGGATATGGGAATTCATTTGGGTAAGTTCTGAAACCGGGGCCATTGTTTTTGTCAACATGATACAACTAATCATCAGTGATTTAAGTGGTTTGGGTGGTTAAAGTAGAAAGCGTGACCGTAAGCGCTGTGATGAGTTTTTGAACCAGTGGATAGCGTATTTATCCACTGGTTAAGTAAAAATGCAACTAGGGGTTGGGGTTAGTGAATTCTTGGAAACCCAAAATGGCCCTGATTTTTTTATGATTTAATAAATTTATTTAGAATAAAAAAACTCCCCAAAAGAAATAATTTTGCATGTTCTGTGCTTCTTGTTTTTTTTTTTAATTAAAAAACATAAAGTAATCTCAAGAGGTTTAAAGTATTTGATAAATTTCTATTTTTCCCTAGACAACCATAAGAAAAAAAATCCAAAAACAAACTTTTTTTCAAAAATTTTGAATTGAAATTAAACTTTCAATTAGATGGGTTATGTTCTAAAACTAAGAAAATGAAGTACTGAACACTTGTATGTTTTTAAAGCAATAAGAAAGTTTATAAAGTGTTTTTAATTGAATTTTCCTGAACTACAACAACAACAAATTTTGATTAAAAAGGGTTCAAAAAACTTTTTAAAAAATTTTTAATTTTTAATTTTTATGCTTTTAAATATAAAATTTTTTCCTAGTTAAGAAAAATTTTAACCCTTATATTTTTAAAAGAAAAATCGGGTTTTAAAAAAAAATTTTTAATAAAATTTTTCCCTTTTTTAAATGATGATGCTAACCTGGTTAAAGGATAATGGTGGTCTTTGGGACGGGGTTAAATTTCCCACGGGGATAACCTTTTTAACCCCTTTGGGATAAGTTTTGAGCCCCCCAAAATTTTATCCAAAGGAAAAAACCCTTAAATTTAACAGATAATAAATTTTAAACCCACGGGTTTAACAAAAATTTTTTGAAAAACCCGACCCGGGTTTTAAGGGTCTAAAACCAAATCATTTTTTTA